GTTGCGTGATCTTTGGCGTCTACTGTATAAAGAGAAGAGTAGTTAGTTAGGTAGAGGCGTTTGTCATGCAAAATATTCACAGAATTTAGTTTTTTTTTTTCAAACACGGAACATTTTTTTCCGGATTATTATACTACAGTCAGCAATTGGGCTAATTTACAAAAACACATAACGACTATTTAATCTCAGAGAAACCCGGTATCTCGATATTGTGTATTTCCTGCAGTACTAGGAGATTCATATTTTGAGAACTTCACATGCTTTGCAGCGCATCGGTGGATTTTTGCTTTTATATATCTTTATTAAGACCTAGGCCTGAACAATGCTTAGCGTCCTCACTAATAGCTTTTTATTTGCACGTCCTCAGAAAAAGTACAACTGAGGGAATATCAGAAGATCAGTCAGACGCAAGCTCGAGAAAAGGACCGCATTTTAAACTGCCTTAATCAGAAAGCGTTCATAAAGTCTTCCCATGAGATAAGGGACGAAGTGAAAAAGAGCGTTGCCGAGAACGATATCACGCTTATCTTGGGCGGTGATCACAGTCTTGCCTACGGTAGCATTCATGGCCACTTCGACGCCTACCCCAACACGTTTGTCGTTTGGGTGGATGCCCACTCCGATATCAATACTCCCGCTGTCTCCGCCTCTGGAAACATCCACGGTATGCCCCTGGCATTTTGCGTGAAGGAGACAAGCGAGAAAATACCGCAACATGATGGCTTTGAGACACTCAAGCCTTGGTTCGTTCTCAAACGCCTATGTTCCCCATCTTTTCCCTCTTTATTACATTTTCACAGTTAATCTACAGCATGACGAGTGCTGCAAGCATAATACCGCAAGTTGCGAAAGACTAGTAATCACTCGCAAACCAACAGTAAGTAGGGTTGCAATACTGATTATCGTGCAGTCTAATCTCAAGTCGTTTCAATTACGTCAGAAGTCCGACATTTTAATGAGCTTCGTTCTGATCGCTTATATAATGTAGATTCTGAAATAATCACTACTTAAATAGTGTGCATTTTTATCACGGATTTTTACTGCCTGTATAAATTCAAATATATTCTATAGAAATCATGCACAATATACTCTTTATTGTACTCGTTTGGTCGAAAATCACGCCTTCTTGAGAATTTATACTTAGAAAAAGGGTATATTCGGGTTTCAAAAACGTTTCTAAATTGCGAAATAATTTTGAAATTCACTGACTGCTAAACCTGGATTCAAAGATTCCAAACGGCGTTCTGTGTTCATTCTGTTTAAGGTAGAACATTTTGCCTATGGTTTGAGGAACAGGTCGGGTAATTCTTATAAAACATTGCAATAGATGTAAATCATACGGTATAAAGTATGAGAAGCGTCAATAAATTGACGGATACAATGTAGTATGGATGAACACTTCAGACTCGTAAAAATCTCATAATTAGAACTTTTTCTGAAACCGAAGGATACCCCTTCTTTGAGTGTAAAATCTACAGACGGCGTAATTTCCTACCAAACGAGTACAAGAAAAAATATTTTCATGCATGTTTTCTATAAAATATATTTGAATTTTTAAAGGCAGTCATAATCTATGATAAAAATGCATACTATTTAAGTAGCCATTTTTTACAGAATCAACTTTTTCTAGGCGGTTAAAAAGAAGCTCATTAAAGAGCCGGCATCTTGACGGGACTGCAAGAACTTGAGATTTTACCGCATGCTAATCAGTATTGCAAACACACTTAACGCTCGTTTGCGAGTGATTACCAATCTTCCGCAATTTGCAGCACTTTGCATGCAGCACTCGCCATACTGTAAGTACATAGCTGAAATTTGAAAATTGCGAAGAATTTGGTTCCTTGTAGCAGGGGCTTCAAGGCGTCTATATACATCTGAAATTCCTTTAAACAAGTCTATGTTTCATTTCAAACATACACCTTGCTATAAATTTCCTACGGAGCGTCCAGGCTATCGTACATTTTATAATGGCTTTACATTTCTGACTGAGCGTAAGAAAGCCCTTAATGAACTTGTGTTTTTTTTTAGCATGACTGCAAAGAACTTGCTCTACATCGGCCTCCGTGATGTCGACACGCCCGAGTTGTGAGTAGCTTTTCCGTCTTTGAACTATTTTGGTCCAGCTCTAGGATATTTGCACAGCCGTTTTAATAATGGACAAGGTCTAGCGTACAAAAATATTTCAGTATTCATTATAATAATGAAAGCGATTGACATTTCTGAGTACTACAGGGTGTCCCAGAAATAACTGACCCTTTTGATTTGCCAATAAAACAAATACTATTAATGCTAGGATATTGAAACTTGTTTGATTCGAAAGAAAAAGCTTTTTATTTTTTATTAGAACTAGGTTTTGCATATAATGTCTTTTAAATGATGGCCATGGTTGTTTTGACAACTTAGGGTTCG